TAGCGATCCCGGGCAAGGCAGCCGCGGCGACAGCCTAGCCGGCTTGCGGAGGGACAGAGCCCGGGGAGAAGAGGGCGGTTATTCCGGATGAGCAGCCTCGGGCGCCGCGCGCTAGGAGGAGGAACCTGGCGCCGCCACCCTGCCCCCCCGGGCAGCGGTCTTCCCGAGTGCAGGTTGAGTGCTCCGAGATCTGTCTCTCCCAGCCAGCGACGCTAAAAGCCGGGCCGAAAGGTACCATTCCAACCACCGGCCCCCCGCCGCTATCGCCCCTCTCTGGAACTGGAGCACCTAGCGAAGCACAGAACTCCGTCCTTCCTACCCCGAATTTATCAGCCCTTCGCAGTACTCACGTCTCCGCCAGATCTTTGCATCCCGAACACAGCAAGAATAGACCCACCTGGGCGACAGACCCACTGCTGTCTCCCTCCTCCAGAGACTCAGCAAGGGCAGATTTAGGGCCAGCTCTACTCATGGTGAGGCAACTTCTGTCAAAGGAGTGTCAATACCCTGGAGGTCGATCAGTGCCTGGATGAGTTATTTTTTTAAATATATTTTTATTGATTTCAGAGAGGAAGGGAGAGATAGAAACATCAATGATGAGAGAGAATCATTGATCGGCCGCCTCTCGCACGCCCCTCACTGGGGACGGAGCCCACAACCTGGGCATGTGCCCTTGACTGGAATCTAACCCGAGACCCTTCAGTCCCCAGGCCAACGCTCCATCCACTGAGCCAGACTAGCTAGGGCTGGATGAGTTATTTTGCTTAATGTTAATGACCTCTGACAATCGCGATTTTTTTTTTAGGCCCCAGAATTTGTCCTTAGGGAATATTTAAAAATCCTTGCTCTCTAAAAACTTTGCTCAATGATCATAACGTTAGTATTGCACTAAAGTACATTGCTGTGTTCCGGGGCAGGTCCTGAAGTTTCTGAGGCAGTACTATTTACACAATGTGAATTGTGAAGCTCCATGGAATTGATCTGGAAAGTAGTGGGTTAGATTCAGGCAGTGGGTAGCCCTCCCTCTATGTCATCTATCTTCCTTCTTCATGAAGTCCTAGAGCAGTGGTTCTCAACCTTCCTAATGCCGCGACCCTTTAATACAGTTCTTCATGTTGTGGTGACCCCCAACCATAAAATTATTTTCGTTGCTACTTCATAACTGTAATGTTGCTACTGTTATGAATCGTAATGTAAATATCTGATATGCAGGATGTATTTTCATTGTTACAAATTGAACATAATTAAAGCATAGTGATTAATCACAAAAACAATATGTAATTATATATGTGTTTTCCGATGGTCTTAGGCGACTCCTGTGAAAGGGTCGTTTGACCCCCAAAGGGGTCGCGACCCACAGGTTGGCGACCCACAGGTTGAGAACCGCTGTCCTAGCGGTTTCCCTGATCAAAGCTGACCTCCTGGCTGTTGAAAACTTAGGCTAAGAGGAGCTCGCCAGGGCCTGGGCACATACACCTTGTGTACTACAGACAAGTACCATGTGCTGTGTCAGTGCAAAGACCCGGGGAGTGCTGGATGTTAGAGAACCACCTTGGTTGGGGAGGCTGATCCGTCCCAGCAAGCTGTAGGAGCTCACAAAGGGTTAATGAGCAGGGAATATTGTGAGTGGATATTCACTTTAGATAGACCTCACTCTACATCTGAAGGCTTTGGAGCTCAAGAGTTTGGGGAGAGAGAGGAGATATATGAATACAAAAAACAATTGTATACAAAAGTTTGTGTATGTGTGATCTTTATTCAGACTCTTGGTTGCAAGGGTCAGAAAACCCGCTTAGGCAAAACAAAACAAAAAAGAAATGTATTGATTGGTTCACTTAACTGATGAGTCTACCTATAAAGAGACAGTCAAAGTGCTTAGTTGCTCTGAACAGAAAGGAAGGAGAGCCCTGGCCAGGTAGCTCAGTTCGTAAGAGTGTTGTCCTGATAAGCCAAGGTTGTGGGTCCAATCCCTGGTCAGGACACATAAAAGAAGCAACCAATAAATCAGTAAAGCTGAAAAAGAAAAAGAAAGATAATCCGTCAATCATTCATTCATTAGATCATGCTAGAATTACAATGTGTGAATTTTTACCCCCTTTAACAAGGAATATGACTAGAAATCTCTTTAGAATTGCACTCCCCTGGATTGGGGAAATCCAGTTAAGCAAAGAAGGACGATTCTTGCCCTCAAAAAAGCTTGTCAGGTCCTATCAGTTCTACCTCTGAAATAGTTCTTGAACCAGTCCCCTCCTTTTCACCCCCACTGCTACTGTCATGAGTCCAATGCTGTTCTGAACCAGGAAGATAGCTCTCCCTGCCATTTTCTACCCCTCCTGTCTGCCCACAAATCTTAAGAGACATGATTGGGGTCCAGGACTCACCTGAGAACTGCAAATGAAAGCTATAAACATACCTAGTTGAGGCAACAAGGAAGGGTTGCATGACATGATCTTCGGATCAGAGTGCAGAACAGGCAACTTCTAAGCACATGCAAATTATGAAAATTTTTAGTCTTAATTTTTACTTTTTAATAAAACTTTTTATTGTGGAAAATTTCACATACAAAAATGTCAAACTTATAAAACAGGAGGAAAAAGTAGCGTAACGAGCCCCTATATACCCATCACCCAACTTTAACAATTGTCAACATTAGCTTTTTTTTTTTAAATATATATTTCTTTATTGATTTCAGAGAGAAAGGGAGAAGGAGAGAGAGATAGAAACATCAATGATGAGAGAGAATCATTGATCGGCTGCCTCCTGCACACCCCCCACTGGGGATCGAGCCCGCAACCCAGGCATGTGCCCTTGGCCGGAACCGAACCCGGGACCCCTCAGTCCACAGGGTGACGCTTTATCCACTGAGCCAAGCCGGCTAGGGCAACATTAGCTTTTTAAAAAATATATTTTTTATTGATTTCAGAGAGGAAGAGATAGAAACAGCAATGATGAATCATTGATCGGCTGCCTCCTGCACGCCCCCTACTGGGGATCGAGCCTGGAAACTGAATCCAACCTTGACCTTCTGATTCAACCACTGAGCCATGCCGGCTGGGCAACATTAGCTATTTTTTTAAAAAATATATTTTATTGAATTTTTACAGAGAAGAAGGGAGAGGGATAGAGAGTTAGAAACATCGATGAGAGAGATCGATCAGCTGCCTCCTGCACAGCCCCCAGTAGGGATGTGCCTGCAACCAAGGTACATGCCCTTGACCGGAATCGAACCTGGGACCCTTGAGTCCGCAGGCTGACACTCTAACCGGTTCGGCAACATTAGCTATTTTTATTAAATCTCTCCTGCCCGTTTTGCTTGTTTAAATTTTAATTTTAAAATGTAAATTATGAAATATTCCAAACTCACAGAATATAATAAAATTGATGCTCAAGACTCCACCGTTCCAATTTAACAATGTGGTATTGTTTAGTACTTTTAAAACATACATAGCCCTGGCTGGCATGTTCAGTGGTTAGAGACTTGGCCTGTGTACTGAGCTCTCAATTCCTGATCATGGGCATAAGGTCATATACCTGTGTTGCAGGTCTGATCCCTGCTCTCCCCCCCCTCAACCCCCCCATCCCAGCAAGGGGCATGTGGGAGGCAACCAATCGATGTGTCTCTGTCACATCGGTATTTCTCTCTCTGTTTTTTCCCTTCTCCCTCCCCCCTGTCTTCTACTCTCTCTAAAAAAAAAAAGAAAAAAATCAGTGGAAAAAATATCCTCACTCCTCAGATAAGGATTAAAAAAAAATACACAAATGTTGTTACATTGCACATAACCATTTGCAATAATTTCCACTTATCAGATGTTAACATGTCATATTTTTTCAAATCTACCACCACCAATAACACATACATACCATTGGTCCTGGGATCTTTATGATATCACACACACAAAAGACTTCATACTACTTTAATAACAAATTCCCAGAACTTATTTGCTTTCTAAAAAAATCTCGAGATTACATCCTGTCCCTAGTTTTTTGGAGTAAGCACCTTTAATACAGGAGCTAAGATAGGAGAGAAGAGGATTTTTTTGCATTCTTAGGCCTTGATTTTCTTCAGCTAGAACTCCAGCTCCTTGCCCTTGAACACATAACCATCTGCTCAGCCTCGTTGGTCTGGTTTTGAAGCGATGCGTGCAAGAAATCTGCCCTGCCTGGCTGGGCGTGGCTCGTGGTTGAACGTCAACCTATGAACCAGGTTCAATTCCCAATGCTTGGGTTGCAGGCTTTATCCCTGGTAGGAGGCATGCAGGAGGCAGCCGATCAATGATTCTCTCTCATCATTGATGTTTCTATCTCTCTCCCCCTCTCCCTTCCTTTCTGAAATCAATAAAAATAAATATTAAAAAAAAGAAGAAGCTTGCCCTGCTGGAACTGCTCTTCTAGAAGGCTACTGATTTTGGCATTCTTTTCCCTTCATCATCATATTTCTTCTGACTTATTTTTGTTGTTGTTAATCCTCACCCAAGATATTTGTCCATTGATTTTTAGGGAGAGTAGAAGAGAGAGGGGAAGACAAAGAGAAACATCCATGTGAGAGAAACACATCAATTGGTTGCCTCCCACAGGAGCCCGGGCCAGGGCCTGAGCCAAACTGGCTAGGGCTTGACTTTTGATTTGTTTGTTTGTTTGTTTGTTTAAAATCTCTTCCTCCTCACAAGTCAGCTTGGCCCCCCTCTTGCAGCCCAGGGGGCAGTGCATTGTGGGACTGGTACTACTGTCAGTAGGGTGTGCTGTCAATGAGCATGATGCAGTGTTTTACAGGAGTCTTGGTACAGACCATTTTGTTGTTGGGTGCATTGTAGACAACATCAATAATCCTTGTTTTGTGCCCACAGCACTCTGAGACCCAGGAGAAGTTGCCCATGCCCAGCTTCAAGGCATGGTACTTCTTGTTGCCTCCCCCACACACAGACTGAATGTATGTGGGGGGGGGGGATCTTAGTGTTGGCAGCAGGATGTCCCAGCTCATATTTTTGCTTCTTGTGGTAGGGATTTCTCTTGTGCCCAGTCTTGTGGCACTTATGCCAGTTGTCCTGAGAGATGGCTTGGTGCCTGCTGGAAAGAGCCTGTCCCCAGTTGTGTTTTTTTCCTTAAATCTTTAAATAATGTATTGATTTAGAGAGAAAGAAAGGAAGGGGAGAGAGAGAGAGAGAGAGAGAGAGAGAGAGAGAGAAGGAGAAACATTGATTTGTTGTTCCACTTATGTATTCATTCATCAGTTGATTCTTACATGTGCTCTGGTCAGGGATTGAACCCACAACGTTGGTGTATTGGATCAATGTTCTGAGTTATCAGGCCAGAGCCCTCAGTTGTTTTTTTAAACAACTTTATCAAGATATAACTTGTCCCATTTTCTCTATAAATTGTTAAGAATTAAAGGGAAATTTAAATTCCTGTGGGTGTTTAATTTCCAAGAGTTCACTATGGAAAACTGGATCACTATTTTTTGTACAACTTAATAAAGCTAATTTTATTTAAAAATAGGTCTACAATTGGAAAGTCTGAGTACAAAAGTATATCGTTATTTAAATGGAAGATTTGGTCTCTCCCCGTCACCCTTT